AAGTATCAATGGCCTAATGCCTGAGATTGGTTCTTTTGCAAATGGCTCCCCAGCTCTGCAGAGAATTAAATATAGAATTTTTAAAAATGTAAGGAAATGTAAGCATTGAGACAAAGGCTTTCTGGCTACTCTGATAGTGTGAACAAGGAGTCTGGTATCCTGTTTGGACTGGGCAGCATTCCAAATTTTTTTGGAGACAAAGTACAGATGACACACTACAGGCTTCTGGCAGGAGATAGATTTGGTGCTCTCCAGTAAGGCTGCCTGCTGGGAGCAGGAAGGGCTCAGCAGAGAAGCTATAGTTGACAGGTCCTAGGAGCTAGATAGGAACAAATGATTAGCTAGTGTCTAGTGTATCATTATGTGGGAAACACCGGTCAGAAAAATCCAGTAAGAGCTTCTCCAAAAAAATCTTCCCTGGTGGTCATAAGTAATCTTTAATATAAATTAACCTTAAAAGACACAGAAAAGGTAAAATTTCTTGCTGGCTTTGGGTTACAGCTCAGTGGTATAAATACCTGCCTGGAAAGTGCAAGGTTTGGAGTTCAATCCCTGGCACAAATACACAAAAAAACTCCTTGCTGACCTTTCACGACAGTGTACACTAAGATCGCAGGTGATGCATCCTTACAACCAGAATGGTCTGCTCTCGACCCCGGCTGGTAGACTAATGGAAGCCAGGGATGAGAACCCTGAGCATCCAGACATTAGGACTTACACTGAGGTGAACCACATACTAGGAATACGATGCCTGCCTGCTAGTATACTTGGAACAACCCTTTGAGGAACCTCATACTCAGTGAGCTTGTGATCTGTCCAGTGCCAAACTCAGTTTAAAAAGGAAAAGGGCAAATAGGAGAACCTACTCTTAAACAACCCATTATCTCCTTGGCATCTGGTTACTTTCAACCATGCTAGGGCTAAATCTTGCTTATCTCATTCACTTAAAGAAGAAAAAACGTTAGCTTAAGAAAGATTTTAAAAGTGACAGAAGGCATTCAGGATTTAAGATTTGACATACTCATAAAAACAAATTCTTTCGTTTTGAATATTTGACTTCATAACTGCAAGTGAAGCCTTCACAAATGCATTGCTCTAATAAATATTCTAAAGATTAATTTTTAAAATAACAAATTTAAAAAATGAAAATAATAAAGGAAATAATGCAGAGGTCATGAGTATATACCCCAGCAGAAGAGTTTAAAACGTCCTAATGTTGTACAAATGAGTACTTGTGGGTTTCAAGCCTTGGTCCTGCATGCTGCGCTGCCCTGGGGCACACTGAGCTGGCAACTGAGTCTGGGCGTGGTGATGCATGCCTGTAATCCCAGCACTGGGAAGGCTGAAAATAGGAAGATCATCATGAGTCCAATCTGCATAGGTAGACCTCGTACTAAATACATCAAAAGACAGAAGAAAGAAAGAAAGAAAGAAAGAAAGAAAGAAAGAAAGAAAGAAAGAAAGAAAAGAATGGAAGGAAGGAAGGGAGGGATGAAGAAAGGAAGAAAGAAAGAAAAGAAAGAAAGAAAGAAAGAAAGAAAGAAAGAAAGAAAGAAAGAAAGAAAGAAAGAAAGAAAGAAAAAGAAAGAAAGGCAAGCAAGCGAGCAAGCAAGCAAACTCTGGGTGCAAGGTGCTCTGGAGAATTCTTCCAACTTTCACAGATCAAGCATTTCCATTGCCACATACTATTCCAAAGAAAAGCAAAGGAAAACCTCTTGATGGTGACACTAAAACAAGTTTGTCTGGGTGGGATGGAGGTCTTGGGTCACATTTTAACTCAGCACCTTGTCACTTTGTTTTCTATGTTGATACTTGCTGATTTATTATGATAGATAGCTTTATCACTAGTATTGAGACT